AGAGTGTTCCATCTCATTTCCCTTTGGGGTTGCTGTAGGTGATCTGGAAGTCTGGTTTTGAGACTTATTTACGTGTTTTCTCATTTCGACTGGGGCAGGGGGCTGTTAGCGCCTGCATGGATTACCTCCTCTGAGCTGGGAGAGGTGGAACAGGGGCCGTGAGCAGCGGTAGGGATGGTGACCCAAAAGCCCTTTCCTGTGGGCTGGGAGCATTGGGAGGGATGGTGGCTGGGAAGCCCCTTCCTCTGGACCAGGAGCAGTGGGATGGTGGCTCATAAGCCCCTCCCTCTCTGCTGGGAATGGTGGGAGGGATGGTGGCCTGGAAGCCCCTTCCTCTGGGCCAGGATCAGCGGGACAGAAGATGGCCCAAAAGCCCTTTCCTCTGGGCTGGGAGCAGCGGGAGGGATGGTGACCGGGAAGCCCTGTCCTCTGGACCAGGAGCAGTGGGACGATGGCTCAGCAGCCCCTACCTCTGGGCCGGGAACAGGGGGACTCTGTACCTTGGTCTGGTGGTCTGGTGTCCTCTGTGTCTTTGTAGTGTGGAACCAGATGGCTGCCTGTCTACAGCGGGGTGATTCGGTGTCTTCCGCGCGACTCAGGACCTCGGTAGGGCGTGCACAGACCTGCCTGTCTGCAGCGGGCTGATTCAGCGTGTTCTGTGGGACTCAGGACCTCGGTAGGGCATGGGCAGACCTGCCTGTCTGCAGCGGGCTGATTCGGCATCTTCCGCGAGACTCAGGACTTCGGTAGGGCGTGCACAGACCTGCCTGTCTGCAGCGGGCTGATTCTGCGTCTTCCGCGGGACTCCGAGTCTTTGATTCTTACACGGAATGTAAAACATGTGACTGGGAGAGCACTAAAAAAGAAGGGAAGGAAGCCCCAGAAAGGTTGAGGACAGAAAATAAGTCTTTGTAATAGAAGAAAAGCAGCAAGGTGAGGTGGTGTGGAAGAAAAGAATACATTTTCAGAAGAGAGTGGTCACTTATTTTTCAAAGCCCAGTGGGGCTAGGGATGTAGCTTAGTGGGAGAGCACTTTCCTGTCATGAAAGACACCCTGGTTCAATCCTCTAGAACTGAAATTAATAAGTGAATGAATGGTCAAACTATAAGGCTTTGGACTCTGTAAAATTCCCTGTATACTTAAGTATCTGCTGAAAAAAAGGATGGTGAGTCATATTAATACTACAGAGCTGTAGAGGTCTTTGAGAGAACATGATCACTGATGGTGCCAATGATAAGGAGGTAGATAGGAAGCTCAGCCAATTTGTCGTTTTTCTTGCTTTTAGTTTTCTTGTCCTTGCACTAACAGTTTGGGGCCGCCTTTCCAAGTATCTATATCTCTAGAAATTCTGCTTATACTTCTCCATAGAACCACTCGGGGGTTTTATCTTCTCGGAATTTAACTACTTTTCCTAGGCATCAGTAGCATTTCCCTGTAAAATCAAGCATCTCTTCCTAAGCGAAACACTTTTCCACTATACATTTCTTTTTTTTTTTTTTTTTGGTACCAGGGATTGAACTTGTGTCCTTGCGCTTGCGCAGCAGGCAGCAAAACTGCTGAGCTAAATCCCCGGCCCTTACATCATTTTTTTATATTAGTGAGTTGGTGTTAATAGTCTACCAGTCTGAGCAGTGCACAATATGTTTCTGCTTACTTTTTAAAACAGCAAATTTGGTTTTTCTTTTTTCTGAAAACTGTCATTTTACCAAAATAATTATGCTTTGCTGTGGTATAATAGCAAAGCATAATTGATGATATAATCTGCAGTAGCTGCAATTATTTATCTTTAAAAATTATGTGGGCCAGGGATTTAGCTCAGTGGTTCCATGGCCTGCCTCGCAAGTGCAAGATCCTAAGTTCCATCCCTGGTACCAAAAAAAAAAAAAAAAAAAGTAGCAAAGTTATAAAATTATATAACAAGAAGCCACGTATGGTGGTGCACACCTATAATCCCAGCCCTCAGGAGGCTGAGGCAGGAAGATCCCTGGCCAGCCTGGGCTACATAGTGAATTCAAGGCCAGTCTAAACTACACAGCAAGACTCTGTCTCAAAAGCCAAAAAAATTATATAGCATGAAGTATAGCAGTTGATAGCTGATGCAGTTGAATTTATTTTCTACAGGAAATTTTGGTAGAGGGTGTGGTAATGTGCTAATGACTTAAATATTTTCCCTACTAAAACTGGACAAGAACTCAGTCCTTTTAGGATACTGTCATTGAGACATTTTGAGAAATGTTTTGAGTAATTTATTTAGTTATATGGTTTGAAGTAGTCTAGAAGTACCACAGGAAAGATGTTCTTAATTTGCATTTTTTCATGTAATAATATCTAACATCAAATTATCTTTACAGGAAAAAACAAAAAAGAAAAAGAAGCATAAGAAACACAGTAAGAAGAAGAAAAAGAAGGCTGCTAGTTCAAGTCCTGACTCACCATAACATTAACAAAAACCAGGATTCCTTTATGAAGAAAGTGCAATGTCTAAGGAAATTTCAACTGTGAAAATTATCATATATTTACTAAAATGCATGAATTTTCTTGTTTTTAGAATTGTTCTTGGACTATTCAATAGCCACTCAGATGCCGCTATGTGAAAGGGCCATAATTGTTGCTTGCTGCTTGAACATCTACTTTTTCTCCTTCAGTGTGTGATAACCTCAGGAGATAATACACTGCAGTCGTACTAGTGGTTAAGATATTTGGGGATAAAGCTAATATTTTTGACTAGAACTATCTAGTGGTAAATCAACAGAAATTGAATCTGGATACCTCTTTAAGATGTAATCAGAAATGGCCAGATGACTCTAGTTAAATTTTTTTAAGTAGGGATTACATTAATATTTTTGAATTCCTTACTCTGTAGATAGATGTAATTTTTCCCCCAATATCTTTTATTTACCTTGGGAAGGAGCTTTTCGGGTGGAGGGAGGGGTGGTTTACTATCTTTAGCTCACAGAATAGTGTGCCTTTGATCCTCACACATCCTACTTTCGTGGACACAGTAGCCATGCTTACTGGGGAGGTCGGAGCTGGGTACCAGCAGTCTTGCCCTTTACTGAGCTTAATGACATCCATGGACTTTGTCATATGCTGCTTTGAGTAAACCAGAGAAACAGCCCTTTGCAGCGTGAGAAAGCCCCAAAGTTCTGGGTTTACCTCCACATCAATAACAACGTTTTTTAGCTTTAGAATATGTTAATATCATTTGAATTAATTTTTGACTATACTTTGGCTTTGGAGAGGAATTGTTTCATATAGACACTGGTACTTTTTGAACTTAATAGCTAAATATTCTAAAGTGCATGTTTTATATGTTGAGTTTTAACCAGTCAGGAAAATTTTATGTAACCAATGATAGTTTATTTTTTTGTATGAATGTTGTTTAGCCTGCCATGTTTAGCTTTTGTTAACTCTTTACTCTTGCTGTCTCAAGTTCATTATTATGTTTAATGGCACCCTTGCCAAGATATTTAGCATGTAAAAAGGTTTTGATTTTTTTGTTTTTAAACAGCTTCATATTGAAGCTGAGACTTATAAACAAGTTGAGTGGCAGGCCTGGTATGCTATATCTTGTTACATAAAGCTATTGCCAGAATCTTAGTAAATACAATGTTTTAAAAGTTTGTTGTCTTTGTATATTAATAACAAATTATGACAAGTTAACTTTAAGTAAGAATTGTATTACTGCTCTTCTTGTGTCATATTTTACTAAGATTTTGTGCCTCATATCTCTTACTGAATTATTAGGAATGTTAAAAGGAATTGATTTTTCATTTTACATTTTTATATAATCAGGTAATATGAAATATAATTTGATGTACAATTTTGCCTGTTACAGAGGGTGTGTGCTAATTATAGTGGTATATGCACAGAACATTTTGGCATGACAAGCTGAATAAATAGCTATTTTACTTAAAAATAGCTGTGTTCGTATGTGGTCACAAGCAAAGCTATAACGAAAAATGCTATTCATTGTTAGTAGTAGATACACTATATCCTCAAGTTTTTAGCTATAAGAATAACATTTCTTTAAATAGTATGCTTAATGCTGCCTATTTCCTAATAAAAAAAAAAAATACCTGTGTGCTCTTTAGTACACAGAAAATTTTACATCCCAAAAGGAAATTTCTCAAAATGTTATTCATAAACATGCTAAAATACTAAAAAGTTTATTAGGTAGTTGAGTTTTTCTGTGAATATAAAACTGTACCTTTAGAGAATAATTGGGAATATGGCATTTACAGCCTGCTAGAAGGAAATGCTCATTAGACTGGGGAAAGGAAAAAGTTTTATTTTTTTCAAATTCTTGACTGGGAAACACCATTTTTCATGGTTCCTCTGATCTTCCAGTCTTTCACTAAGGTATAAAAAGATTATTTGACAGGGTAATGTCAGTTATGTTTATTCCATATTTGTTACAGTGTCCAAGTTATTAATACATCTTCTCCCTCCACCAAGCTATTCCTTTTCCTTCTTGAGTAACTTCGTCTTAATTTTAGAAACCCAAGACACGCTATTTGGATACTGGTACTGGGATAATTGCCAAAAATTGTGATGGGTTTCTAGATGGAAAAAAATGAGTTTATACCAGTGCTACTCATTTTTTGTCACTTTAGATTCCTTTGGCTACTTTGAGTATATTTAGGTGTTTTTATCCTAATTTTATTTTATACAGGTTCATATTCCTTCAATCAAGATATACTAAAAATGCCAGGGATTTAGCTCAGTGGCGCTGCGCCTGCCTCAAAAGCGCAAGGTCCTGAGTTCGATCCCTAGTACCGCAAAAACAAACAAGCAAACAAACAAAAACTACAAATCTATCCCTTAATTTTCAGTCTTTTTGTAATAAACAATAGAGTAGTGGAGAAACCATGTGGGTACTGCTGTTCTTGAGACTTAGTGACAGGTTTCACACTACTAAAATTTGCCACATTTTACTTAAAGCCTATGGGCATTCATGCTATTTTTGTAAGGAAGGCTTTTGGAAAGCTGTCACACATAACACACTTGTCTTTGCCTTGTTTTAAAAGCTTGGTCTTGTATTTTATGAAAAAATGAGGTGGGCAAGGATGTAGCTCAGAGACAAAACATAAGGCCTGGGTTTAGTTCCCAGCATTCCAGAAAAAAAGTTTTGGTAAGAATGTTATATCCTAAGGCTAGAGATGCAGCTCAGTGGTAGAGCACTTGCCTTGCAAACCCCCAGGTTCAATCCCCGGCACAAGAATAAAATCTAAAACAAATATTGCATCCTAAATTCTAAAAATCATTTTAATGTATTTTCTTGACTTACACAGTAAAAGCCAACACACATAGACAGGAAGATGTTTGTTCTCAACCTGGATTTCACAGGGAAGGAGGTGAGTTCGAACAGGTGACATTTTTTTTTTCTTTTTTGGTACCAGGGATCAAACTAGGGTTCTTGCACTTGTGCAGCAGGCGGTGAAACCACTGAGCTAAATCCCCACTGAACAGGTGACATTTTGATCAGCTTTGGGATAGTCACACCATGTTTTCTCTCCGTTCTGAATTGGAGGTATAACAGTGAGTTTATACCCAGAAGCTTCCAAATGAAGCCTCTGTTTGGGTCTTCTGAGAGGATGCTTAGTTTAGAGAAGGTTGTAACCTTTGAAGGAACTGTTCATCACCTGGAATATAAGCTTAAATAGTAAGATCTTTATAATTTTAGGTAACGATGTATTCAGATAGGGAGAAAAACATTTTCAGTTTTTCCTGAGGAAATACAAATGGCAATAATATGAAACATCACTTCAAGTGATGTTTAGCCCCAAAGAAAAGATAAATGTTGGAATTGCTGTTCCTGATTACATAACTTTAATGAAATTCCTACACACCTACTGAGTAGTAGCTCCCATTGTTGCATATTTTTCCAACTATTTGAGAACCTTCTGTTTCGTTGCCGGGAAGTGGCCATGTTCACATTCTATATTGGGATTAGAATAGTGAACTCTGGAATTAGTGGTAGCTCAGAACACCCAGGCTTTGAGCTAGACTCTGGGAAGTCTGCAGTGTACTAAAGCTATATTCAACATGGAGCAGGGTGCTCTGAGGAAACTGGTGGAATCCATCAGTAAAACTGTCAGGAGCTGTAAGTACTGATCCACCTTCCAACAGTGCCTGAACATGAAATGTTGATAGACATCCTAGCTAAATATTAATAATAAGTGCTTTGTAACTCTAAAATAGAGTCCTCAGTTTCTATCAGGTATTGGCCATTTTCAAAAAAGGTCAGCAAGTGAACAGTTACATTGGCACATATACAGAAAATCTTTTAACCATTAGGTGTCCTGGAATGTATTTGGTGATATGAGAAGACTAGATTGAGAAGTTACATGACATAAATACTAGAGATCTGTCAAGCAAGAATGATTTATTATAGTCATACTGACATGTAATAAATTTTGAATTATAAAAGTTTTAGCTAGTTCCCTGAGTTTTTCTTTTGGCATAAAACCAATACTGGCAGATGATTATCCTACTCCAGGGCATTAGTGGAGTTGTATAAAATACTTTAGATACTGAAGAAACAGCGTGGTGCTTTGTATACCACAAGTGTGTGCTTATAAAAGCTACTTGAGAGCCAGGTGTGATGGTGCCCACCTGTAATCCCAGCACACAGACTGACACAGGAAGATCACTGCAAATTAAAAGGCCAGCCTGAACTACATACATAGTGAGGCCCTGTCTCAAAAAAAAAGGTATTTGAATTTAACTTTTTTTTTTTTTTTTTTGGTACCGGGGATCAAACTTGGGTCTTTGCGCTTGCGCAGCAGGAGGCAAAACCACTGAGCTAAATCCCCAGCCCTGAATTTAACATTTTTTAAAATCCTTGCCCTGAAAGATTTAACTAGTAGTCTTCTGAGTTTTGTTTCTCAGATATGACCATAAGTAATCCTGACGGATGGTTCTGAAAGAATCTTAGACATTGAGGAGTTGACAGTATCAGCCACTATTAAGAGTCTCATTATGGAGCACTTCCATGTTTCCTTGGGTGACTTCAGGAGGACAGGTACCACCTTAACTCTCATTGTAAACCTTCTGTTCCAGTTGAGATTTAAAATGATTTAAGTTCCTCAAGACCCAAGGGGTTTTCCAAGGCTGCTATTCTATAATTCTTACAATTTCTACTGTAGGTTTAGCTAATGCTGAGTAAGAAATACTGCTTTCTTAGTGGAGCCTGAGCTTTCTAACATTCCAAAGGAGAGTTTGCATACTTTTAAATCAAATGCTCCCACCCCATCCCATTGAAATAGTTTTTAGGAATGTTTTGCCATGTTTATCTTGTTATTTGAAAGCAACTCCCTGAGATCTGCAGGTAAGAAAGAATATGTAATACTTGATCAAGAGGCATCATGTCTCGTATAGACTTCCTCAAAAATGTAGAAACCAAGCTTTAGATTGTCTTTTGTCTAAAGTTACACAGGTAGTGGGTTTTTCTAGTGGAGGCAAAGTTGGTAGGCTGAAGTAGGAGGGTCTTGTACAGGGAACAGGGAAAGGGGATGTTCTAGAACCTCTGCAGAAAGTCCTAGTTTTCTGCAAGCCATGACAGCACAAGAGAATTAATTAGAAAAGATAGAAAAATGAGACAAGCTGAGCTTTGGGCCTGATAGTGCTGCTCTGGGCAGCAAAGACAAGACCCCAAGCTTGCCACACTTTTACTTGGTACATCAAGATTAACAAATATAACAGGTAGGGCTGGGGATTTAGCCCAGTGGTTCCGTCGCCTGCCTCGCAAGTGCAAGGACCTGAGTTCGATCCCTGGTACCAAAAAAACCAAAAAACAAAAAACCAAATATAACAGGTGACTCAGTGCAGCAATGATAATCCTAGAACAATGAGGAGCTATGTGTTCCTCCTCAGGATGTCTTCAGCTGGTGTAATCTTGCCCTAGAGCATCACAGCATCACTGAACCATTAAGATTTTAGCTGTGACCAGAGTGAAAATGCCATAGCTGGCCTGTAGGCAGGAAAACTAGGCCTAATCATAATTTTAATTGTGAAATGATTTTTTTCCCCAAAATTACGTAGAACTGCTCCTGACAGGATCTAATGTTCAAGGCCAGCCTGGGCAACTTAACAAAACTGAAAGGAGGGAGGGGGTGTCAGCTGGAGACACCTCAAAGTGAGGCCCAGGGTACAGTCCCTAGTACTAAAAAAAAAAAATGTATTTAATGTAGCTCATTCTAGTGTAGACCAGGATATACACTGACTTTCCTCTTATTACTGGGATTTTTGTTTTGTTTTAGAACTGGGTCTGTCTAGCTGAGGCTAGCCTTGAATTCATGATCCTACCTCAACCTCCCGCAGAGTTTGGTTGCTAATGCATAAAAATGGAGAGAGTTGACAAGAGCTACAACCACCTAGGCCCCAAAAGGGGATTGTCTTTATTATTTCTCTTTGTGTACAAAATTCTGATTGTCCCATGTGACAGTAAGTTGAAGTAATTCTTCCTGGCCTTGGCTTTGAGCTTCTTAAGAGGAAACCATAATTTACTAGGCCTCAAGATCAAAATTTCTTCTAGTGAAACAGCTACCACTACACAACTGCTCAGACCCTCAGAAAGCTGAGTGCCTCCAGAGACCTCACAAGGAAAATTCCTTCCCACTGCAGTTGGAACCACTTTTTTTCCAGACAGATTTAGAATGTTTTATATTCTAGACCTAGTAAAATTTGTACCTGTTAATGTACTACTCTCTAGCGTTTCATTGTTCAGTGTTGTAACCAGGAACTATATGTGATTATATAAAATTTTAAATTCCCCTTTTTTGGTAATACTAGCCACTTTTCTGGGGTCACTGTTCACATGTGGGTGATGACTCCCAAACTGAATAGCACAGATACAAAATATTTTAGGAAGTTCTGTTGGATGGTGTTGTTGTATGGACAAATAATTCTAGTCCCTTTTCCAAATAATGGCCTTTTAATCTCTCGGAGGAGAAGGGTAGACAGTACATCTCTGGGTGTGTTAGCTTCATGGGGGTGTGAGTGCAAGCTGTGCATTCCCCTGGGGCCCTGTGCTTCGTTTAATGTTGAACTATCACTGAGGGGTATTTTTTTCAGTTCGGTTTTGATTTTGGATTTTTCTTTTCCTAGTACACTAAGTCCCCAGCTTACAAATGAGTTCCATTCCAGGAGAACATTTGTAAGTTGGATTATTCATTCGTAATTTGACAAAGTGAATCTTATACAGTACACCTGTAAAAGTTTGCAACTCAAATATTCATAAGTCAGAGACTTACTGTACTGGGGATTGAACTTTGCACTAAGCTAGATCCCAGACCTTTTTTTTTCCCTCCTGCCTCAGCCTCCCAAAGTGCTGGAGCTCCAAGTGTGTCACTGACTTAATTTTTTAACAAAGGACCTGAATTTGCATTATACTCTGGGCCCACATGTTCTGTAGTCAATAGTGGCGCTATACAGTGTGTCTCTTACTGGAAATATGACAGGAGTTTCTATACCAGTGGTGGCAAACCTATACCATGCATGCAGCAGCGGGCTGTTTGTATTACTGAATGCTCTAAAAGATTCACCATCATGATGATCTATACCATCAGAATCACCAAAAGATTTGTGTTGAAAGTGTAATACCACCCCACATGTATTAAAAATCTCTGCACTAGGACTGGGGATTTAGCTCAGTGGCACCAACCCTGCCTTGTAAGTGCAAGGTCCTGAGTTCGATCCGCAGTACCAAAAAAAAGAAAAAAAATCTCTGCACTGAAAATAGATACACACTAAATTGGAGAATTTTGAAACTGTTCCTAATTATATCATTATTTGACAGGACATCATTTTGGCATCTAGAAGTAACTCATTTACCATATCTCCAACTTCTGTTCTCTAAATTTGACAAGTACTCCAATTTAGAAGTGGCTGACAAATGTTTTATAGTCCCCAGCAGCACACAAACAGCTGTGGAAAGGGAAAAAATAGTAACTTTAGTGGGGACACCTGGCCAACTCTGGCTTAACCAAGCAATCGTGGTTAACACCACAATGATCCTCGTGCCAACCGAGAGAAACTGCATGAAAACAATAAAGAACTCTGTACTACCTTTGCATCTCATGTAAATCAAGTTTTCCAAACTAAACACTGCTATTGAAATTATCCCAAAGTGCATTCCATAGAGTGCACCACATCTGGGCTTCCTGTTTCTTCATATTCCAAACAAGAAAGATTTCTAAGTTTCTTGTAGCCCAAAGAGGAGCTGCCTCCCCTTTTATGACCTAGTCTTGTAAGTTATAGGCCCTCATTTCCACTGTTGATTGAAATGATCATAAAAATCTGAATCGTGCCGGGGATTTAGCTCAGTGGTTCCGCCGCCTGCTGCGCAAGCCCAAGGACCTGAGTCCGATCCCCGGTGCCAAAAAATAAAATAAAAATGAAAATCTCAATCGTTTCAAAGAGGCCTAGACCTCATCTCCAAGGAGAAAGATCAATGCCACACTGTGCGAAAAGTGTGTGTGATGGGATTAGACTGTTAAGATCATCTAGGAAAATACAAACTGCCACACTGGAATTCACCATAGCTTCAAGAATTTACTATCAAAGTGATTTTCCTTAAACACAAATCTGACATCCTGCCAGCCAAACTTTTAGTAAGTGCCCTCATTATTAGAAAAACTCAAAACAGTCCTGCCATCTAGCTCAACAAAGTTGCAATTCTTAGAACATGCCTGTGAGACTTTATTTTTAAACTGTAAAATGGCCATAAGGGTAGGAACCATGATGGATATATACAATAATCTTTACAGCCTTATTCAGGACTTCATTGTTACAGTATGAAATTATACTAAGCAAGGAGCAAGAGAATCTAATTTGGTTCCTAAAATAGTACTATTAGGCACCTTTGTCATTGCTTATTCTTTAGATTTCTAATCCCTACCCTAAAAACCAAGTCACTCTTCAGACCAAATAGAAACCTTCATGTTGTAAAATGAATATTTGCTATATATTGTCCTTTATTTCACTTGGGTAACTTAAAATCACCTCAGAAAGTTTCTAACATAATTCTCCTTACCTCCACAATAGAAAGTAGGGGAAGAAGAGGAGGGAAGAGGAAACAAAAAATAGTAACCACCTCTCACTCCTAACTTCTAGTTCTTTCAAGTAATCTTTGATTCAGAGTTACACTTTTAGAGAACAAGGAATCTCAGCGACCAACCAGGACAATGCCCAGTTTTATAAGTGAAGACACTATGGCATAACAAAGCAATTTAGGATGATAAACAGAATGGAAACCAGATGCTCCCAACACACAAAGTCTAACCCTGTATTTTCGGTCCTGACAGTGCACTTCATCATCATATTTCATTAAGTCTGGAGTGAGACTCAAGTATGTGAATAGAGTTGAGTTTGAAAACTGCAGATCTGGTAGTTACAAAGCCTACTGATTTTCTACAGCACCTCGGGCTCCTTCCCAGATTTTCTGTCCTTATCTCCACCTCCGTAGCCAAAGCCCTGTCACTTCATCCCCGGCTTCCAGGCTCCCAGCTTTCTTCCGCCAGTACAATTTTGCCAGATAGGTTTTCCTAAACTACTCTTCCTGTCATGGTCTCCTGTCCAAAATCCTTACTGGTTTCAGATTCTCAACCTGTAGGGCATAGGAGTCAACTGAGCTCTTGTTTTAAAGCCAATTCCTGGGAGGACTGTTAGCAATTCTGATTTAGCAGACTTGGGGCAAATTCTGGAGATCTGCGTATTTAACAAGTATGGGGGCCTGGAGAGGAGATTGAGTCTCATAGCCCAAAAATGACACCATGAGAAACACTGCCCCTGTGCAATAAATGGTATCCATGGAGCAGGCATTCAAGACTACCATCAGCCCATCATCTTCCACCTTGGTTTTCACTTGTCAACTCCTTGCTACGCCCCCACTAAGCCAAATTCTACCTCTTTCCTTTACTCACGTTGTTCACTTTGCCTAGAACACTCCACTTCTTTACCACACTTAACACATTCATTCCTAAATAAACACTATGTATCTTCCCTTCCCTTTCTTCCTTCTTTCCTTTTTTCTTTTCTTTTCCTTTCTTTTCTTTCTTCATGCTATGCAAGTGCTCTACCATTGGGTTACATCTCCAGCCCTTTTTATTTTTTATTTTTTAAATTTTTATTTATTTATTTTTTTTGGTACCGAGGTTCAAACTCAGGACCTTGCGCTTTCAAGGCAGGCGCTGGAACCACTGAGCTAAATCCCCGGTCCCTCCAGCCCTTTTTATTTTTCGAGATGGAGTCTCAGTAAGTTGCCCAGGCTACCCTCGAGCTTGTGATCATCTTGCCTCGGCCTCTGAAGTAGCTGGGATTACAGGCATGAACTACCATGACCAGCCCGATTTACTTCTCTTTCTTTACATGTCTCTAATGAAGAATGCTATATTACATAATCCAGCAATTTATACTCCCTTATGAGACTTCTGAGTTAGGCCTGCCTTAACTGTGTAAACTTTTTTTTTTGGTACCGGGGATTGAACTCAGAACCTTGCGCTTGCAAGGCAGGTGGTGGCACCACTGAGCTAACTCCCTGGACCCTGTGTAAAAAACTTAATCCATATCATACATATTTTGGTATCACCAGACCATCTAGCATCATAAGAACAAAATAATTGCTTAGTCAAATATTTAATTGGGTTGATTAGTGTTTAAATCTGCTGTTTCTTTTCATTTCACAGTCAAAAAAATGAAGTAGAGCATCTTATCAAACTTTTTCACAGCTTCATGGAAAAAAACTGGATGATTTGGTAACACTGGGCTAGATCTTAACACATTTTGAGAGATCCTGCACAACGTATTTGGAATGACTGATGATATGCTGATGAACAGAGATAAGTCACGGAGACTAAAATGTGCCAATTTAAGATGGAAACTATGTATGTATTCAATTTTCATCATAGACTGAATGGTTTTCAGTGCCACACTAGAAAAGTATAGTGCTAATAACACTGCTGCAAACTAACAGGTCCTTAATTCACGCTCACTCAGAATTTCTTATCCATAGTTATACAGCAAATAAGCTAGTGGTATTCTTGTTTAAAAGATAAGCAGCCCTGTGGCTTTTAATCATGTTTTCTTTGGCATCATATTCTATAGACATTTTTTTCTCGTAAAAATAGAGAATGTACCAGTCTATATAAAAAATGATGACTCACTACAGTGGAAAAGTAAATTATATATTGAAAGTAGGAAATTACTGTAACCCAGTTAGTTTTAGAAACAGACCTTTAAAGTGTACAATTTGGTAAGTTTTGACACATGTATACATGTGTGCAACTATTACCACAATAAAATAATTAATATATCCATCATTTCCAAGAAGTAGTATTTTCACTAATCTTCCATAGAATAATATTTTTATTGGTAATTGTAAAAATAATGTATTTTAGTAATTTACCTTTAGATATTGTGAAAACTCTTTAGAACAAATTTTTTTTTTTTTTTTTTTTTTTTTTTGGTACCAGGGATCGAACTCCGGTCCTTATGCTTGCAGAGCAGGCGACGAAACCACTGAGCTAAATCCCTGTCCCCAAGAACAAAATTTTTAACCACTTTTTTTTAGAATAAAAACTACGTCATTGATTAGCTCCACTGTTTGACCCCCTGGCACCTAATAAATGCCCAAAACATCACAAACAGCCGGGCACAGTGGTTTATCCTGTAATTCCAGGACTTGGGAGGCTGAGGCAGGAGGATCAGGAGTTCAAGTTTGAGTCTAGCTTGGTCTACATAGGCCAGCCTGGATTATACAGTGAAAACCTGTCTAAAAACAAAACAAAACCACAAATGGTGCTCATCACTGCTCATGGAGCAGATTTCTTCTTTTTACTTTAAGAATATGAGGGGAAACATATTTCCAATACTTTTTATCCTTTCCTCCTCAATTTGGAAAGTTTTTTATCCACTCATATATATGTATGCCTAAATTACAATACACTTACATATTTTTTTCCAGTGTTTTGTGCATTTGACAGAGACACGGATAACTACATAAATGTAGAAGAGTGGATTGGAGGATTATCAGTGTTTCTTTGAGGAACTTTTGAAGAAAAGCTTAAGTGTAAGATGGGATTTCTGGCTTACTAATATATTTTATCAACTTAGTATTTGGTAAATGTTTATAATCTAAAAATATGAAATTAGTGTTTGGTTTAACAACCTTGCAAAAACTGTTCATAACAGCTTGAAACAAGTGAAATGAGTGGCCTAGTTTAAAGGTCATTTAAGTCTCTAGCCTCAGTTCATAGATTCTGCAACGCTCGGTGTCACCTGATAGGTCTTTGTCTCATGGCCTAAGTTAAGGGTCAGGCTTGTGCCAACTCTGATCAGCTGGTAACACTGAGGTTTCTGAGGCTGCCTCTGTCCTCAGAAGGAAGTGTGCCTCAATATGGGGCAGTGCATGTGTTAACTTTGGGGCTGTTCTTTGTCTTTTCACCAAAGAAAACAAAAGGGGTTGACCACGCACTAACTACCAGATATTAATTCTTTACTGTTGGAGTTGTTTTAGATAACTGAAGAGAGAAATGAAGAAACTGAAGACAATGCAAGACCAAAGGGAAGAGTGTTATAAATGGAGCTTTTGGCTTAAAAGCAACATGAGGAACTCCAAAAACAATACTCTCTCAGTTCACAATTTTGCCTAGAAATAGCTCTGGTTTGTCCAACTGGGGTGATGTTCATTTCCTATGCTTTATTCTTCTAATGTCTGGATTTGGGGTGAGGAACTCTGGAAAGAATAGGAACAATTTTAGGTAACAGTTTTCAAAGAAGCAAATTGCTTTCAAGTATGTGTCTATTTGCTTAAGAAAAGATTGTAGAATTCTATGTAAGTGAGCAAATTTTTATCCATTCTTAATCATTCACTTGAATTTGGCTTTGGGACATTAAAGAGAAGATCAGTAATTTAAAGATAATTTTTTAAATTATAGCACCATTTTAAAATCATCAAATTTCTGTGACATTTGATGTTATTTTGTATTTCAGCCCGCAATCTAATTTTTCATGAGATGCATGTAAATATAGTTTCCACTTAAGATTGAGGCAGTGTTTTGTTTTGTGGTACCAGGGGTTGAAACCATAGACCCACACATGCTAGGCAAGCGCTCTACGATTTAGCTATCTCCCCAGCCCTGCAGTGTTCTTACACACAAGTCTCACTTAGAAGTGAAAAGCTAAGTTTTATGAATGTTAATCCTGTGCTAATACTAATACTTGGTGAAAAGGGCTGTGATCCAACTGTATATGGCTGGACAGCAGCACAATGTCAAAGATTTTCCTCCTCTAATCATGCACCCTAAAATGTTTCTTAGGCATTTAATATGTTGGCTGATGATGTAACAGTGGTAAGCATGCTTATCTAGCATGTACAAAGTCCTATGCTCAGTCCCTAGTGGGAAATAAAAAGATATGTTAATTTGGGGGAAATAATACTTTTTCTTTTTTTCAGTAGTGGAGATTGAACCCAGGGCCTTCACACTGAGCTACATTCCCAGACCTTTTGCCTTTATTTAATTTTTTAAAATTTTGAGACAGGCTCTCACTAAGTCATTAAATTGCCCAGGCTGGGTTCACTCTTGCAACCCTCCTGCTTTAGCCTTCTAGAGTGTTGGGATCACAAATGTGTCACCATGCCGGGCTGGAAATACTGTAGTACTTTCCATAGGAAGGCTGGATTGCAATTCCTTATGCTACTGATTGGAGAAAGGCGACAGAGAGACACAGTTAATCTGATACTCTGGAATTTATTCCTGCCTCTATTGCTTTGGCCAAAACACTTAACTAGGTATAAAGTCCATGAGAGCTCCTTCACTGCTTTCATCCCAGGACCTGAGTAAGGTCATTTGTGGGGTGAATGGATTAACTCTGGTGCTGATATTTAAGCTTGTGTTTCTAATTTATTTCACCTAACATTATGGTCTCAAGGTGCATCCATTTTCTATAAATGACTCAAGTTTATCCTTCTTTATGGCAAAGTAGTAATTCATTCTATTTAAATACATTTTCCTTATGCATTCATCTGTTAATGGATATATAGACTGCTTCCAAGACTTAGCTATTATGACATGGAAATCACTCTCCAGGAAGAGATTATTTGATAATTTGGGATGGTGCACATGGGCAGGTCCTATGACTCACTATGCAAACTGATAAATGTTCTTTTTCAGTGATTAAGTGACTACTTCATTTTTATACTCCACATGAGAATCATAGGATTGATTATACACATGTATGAACAAAGGTTTCAACATTTTATCTTTTATTGCAGCTTGATAACATTTTTTAACTCTCAATACCAAAACACAGGAATTGTATGCCTTTCTTCCCAAATCCCAAGGGGTATTTAATCTTGGGGACAGAAATGTAATAAGCAGTGCTTTATTGTAAAAATCTCTCTACACCATTCTGGATTAGATCAGTAAATTTATGGTACATAAATTGTACTTACACTTTGGTATCTTATGTTGAAAATAACCAAGGGAAAGACTAATGACATTTTAACTCTTCTTACATAAGTCTTTTACACTTCTGTGCTTTAAAAAGACTGTTTTGAAGTTTATTATTTGAATGGAAATGGTTACATTTCTCGAGAAGAAATATTTGACATGCTGAAGAACCGTATATACCAAGGGTCATACAAAGAAGAGACTGATGAAGGAATAAGAGAGTTGGTAGATATAAATACTTCTGAAAATAGTAAGAATGAAAAACTGTAATGAATTACATTCATTCAAATACATGTTACATAAAGCTAAAAAATGGTTTCTTTAAAAACATGCTTTTTTTTCCCCTCCTAACAAATGTAACTTTTATATGGACAGGAGTTTGTGTTCTCTGCTCTGTCTGTTGTATAATGACTGGCTGTGGGTACTCATTAAATATTTGTAGAATGGGAGTGATTAAACAATCATTATACTCAAGCTGGGGATTTAACTCAGTGGCACTGCACCTGCCTTGCAAGTGCAAGGTCCTAAGTTTGATCCCTGATGCCAGGGGTTGGGGGGTGGATAATCATTATACAAAATTAATGTTAATTTTATTATTTTAAAATACCTTTTTGGTTTTTTGCAGTACTTGGGATCAAACCCAGGGCTTTATGCATGCTAGCCAAGTGCTCAACCACTGACCCATGTCCCCAACCCTAAAGTATTTTTTATTAAATTTTTATTGTTATTGGTACATGTTTTTAGTACATGATTACACTCCTCATGGGGAGTTGATACCTGTACAAACACATCTAAATTCTTTTTTTTTTTGGTACTGGGGATCAAACTCGGGACCTTGCTCTTGCGAGGCAGGCAGTGGAACCACTGAGCTAAATCCCTGGCCCCTAAATTCTTCTTTTATCCCCCTCTCTTTCCCACCCTTACCCCTCCTTCCATCCTTTTGTTTCCTTCCCTTTTACAAAATATCTATTTCCTATTACTTATCATTTATTTTGCCCTTTGTATTTCAGGTTTCTCAAAAACCATGTGACATTTAAGTTTGTGTCTCTAATTTATTTCACTTAACACTACGGTCTCAAGGTGCATCCATACCCGTCTCTATGGCAAAGTAGTAATTCATTCTATTTAAATACATTTTCTTTTTTTTTTTAATGGTGGTGGTGGTGACTGTGTGTGTGCGCACACTAAGGTTAGTGCAATAGACCGGAAATATTCAAAGAGAAAAATCACATCCACATCAGATTCTTGTTATTGCTATCTCTTTGCATTACAAAAATAATTTTGATACAGGAAACCCTCATTAATTTGGATTCCACTTATCAGGAGTTTGTGGGATGAAGGTACCCTTACATTAAGAAAGGGCTTGGGCTAGGGATTTAGCTCAGCGGCTCTGCACCTGCATCACAAGCACAAGAACCAAAAATAAAAAAAGAAAAGGCTTATGAAAACAATTTTGTAAGCACATTTAAATCACTTAGACGAACCTGTTCTTTTCAAGCATTTCAGAAACACCTGTTTACTTCCAAATGATGTGCTAACAATAAACTTTTGATCTATTCATTGAAGCCAGAGATTTAAGCACTTATCTAGCAAAAAAGTATAATATCCTTTTTGATATTTTCTGTGTGCTTTAAAATGTTCAATAATGTTTTTTCCTTCACTGGTTCATAAACACTTTCTCCAAAATTATATTTTATTGTATATGAACTACAAGTGTAATTTTGGGTCTAATAATTTATCTTGCTGACAATATGCACTTATGTGAAGTTTTACTCAGAACATATATTACATATTTCCCAATTTATCTCTTTAAAAGATGAATAGTGACTCAATTGGGAACAATTTGGCAATGCCAGGAGACATTTTTCATTGTCACTACTGGGGGTTTCTACTGGCATCTAGTGGGTAGAGGCCAAGGATCTTACTAACATCCTGCAATAGAGGACAGTCTCCCACAACAGAAATTAAATACATTTTCTTTATGCATTCATCTGTTGATGGATATACAGACTGCTTCCAAGACTTAGCTATCATGAGTTGTACTACTATAAACATGGGTATCATGTATCACTGTACTGTGAGGACCTTAGCTCTTTGGGAGAGATACCTAGAAGGGGAATAGCTGGGTCAAATAGAATGTCTAGTTAGTTTTTTGAAGAATCACCATATTAATTTCCACAGTGGTTGAACTAGTTTACATTCCCACTGAGAGTATAGAAGGGTTCCTTTTTCCCCACAGCCTCACCAGCATTTGTTATTATTTGATTTATTAGTGATAGCCATTCTTTCTGGATTTAGTTGGAATCTCAAGTGTTAATTTGCGTTTCTCTAACAGCCAGAGATGTTGAACATTTTTTCATGTATTTATTGGTTATTTGTATTTCTTCTGAGAAGTGTCTATTCATTTCAGTTGTCCATTTAATTTGGTCTCTTATTTTGAGGGGTCTAACTTTTTTGAGTTCTTTATAGATTGCAAATATTGGTCCTTGGAGGAATAACTGGAAATTTTTTTTTCCAATTCTGTAGGTTGTCTCTTTACTCTGTTGGTTGTTTCTTTTGTTAGGCAGAAGCTTTTTAATTTGATGTAATTCCATTTTTTTTTTTGATCGAACTCGGGTCCTTACGCTTGTGTAGCAGGCAGCGAAACCACTGAGCTAAATCCCCAGCCCAATTTATTGCTTCTTGATATTTCTCATGCAATTGGGGTTCTGTTTAGAAAGAGTTTGTCAATGCCTATATCATCAAGAGTTTTACCTGTTTTATCTTCCAGTAGATTGTTTCTGTTTTAACATTTGAATATTTGATCCATTTTGATTTTAGTTTGATCCATTCTGGTGAAAAGTACAAGTCTAGATTCAATCTTTTGCATGTTTATAGTTAGTTTTCCCAGCACCATTTGTTAAAGAGGCTATCTTTCCTGCAGTGTATGTTTTTGTCCCCTTTGTCAAAGATCAGATACGTGAATATATCTGGTGTTGCTTCTACATCCTCTACCCTGTTCCACTGATCCTTGTGTCTGTTTTTGTGCCAGTGCCTTGCTGTTTTTAATCACTGGCTTTGTAATATAACTATGTCTAGGATTTTGATGCCGCTTGCTTTGCTCTTGTCGCCTACGACTGCTTTTGCCATTCTGGGTCTCTTTTGGTTCCACGTTAAATTTTAGGATTGTTTTCTCTAGTTCAATGAGAAATGCCATTGGTATTGCATTAAATCTGTGTATGTTTTCAAAGTACAGCCATCTTGACAATATTGGCTGTGCCTATCCTAGGGCAGGGAATATCTTTCCATTTTCTGATGTCCTTTTTCAATCTCCTCTTTCAGAGTACTGTAGTTTTGTTGTAAAGGTCTTTTACTTCCTTGGTTAGGTTAATTCCTAAGTAAGTTTTCTTAATGCTATTGTGAATACTGTTTTCCTAGTTTCTTCCTCTGTGAGTTATTGATATACAGGAATACTATTGATTTTTGTGTGCTGATTTTTGTATGCTGGTACACTGCTAAGTTTTGATTATTAATTCCAGGAGTCTTTTGGTGGAATTTTTGGGGTCTTTTATGTAGAGGATCATGTCATCTGCAAATAATGTGACTTCTTCCTTTCCTGTACATATCTCTTTTCCTGGGCTGGGGATTTAGCTCAGTGGTTCTGCTGCCTGTCTCGCAAGCGCAAGGTCCTGAGTTCAAGCCTCGGTACCAAAAAAAAAACAAACCCAAAAGCATATCTCTTTTCTTTCTTTCTCTTGCTTGATTGGTCTGACTGTTTCAAGTACTATATTGAACAGGAGTGATGATCCTTGTTCCTGATTTTAGAGGGAAAGCTGTCAGCTTTTCTTCATTTAATATGATGCCTAATCCTAAAATATTTTACTATCATTGAGACCTCATTAACTTGGGGGGTGGGCAGGGCTAGGTTCAATTCTTGTAAAATTGGATCCTACTTTGTCTTCATGACCTCTCCCCTCCAACCCATCTAAACACTTACAAAATAATGATAAAAAACATTTGACTCCTATAGAGTGCCCACTACTGTATATATGCCAGGTCTTTCAGAGGACTTTAATGTATTAGTTCATTTTTTCCTCAAAATAATCCTATTCCTCCATTTAGTGGATGAAAAAAACTAGAGAGTATGAGAAACTAAAAGTAAATAAGGACTAAAAGGTACAATAGATAATGTTAAAATAGGTAGAAAAGGGGCAAAGGGGAAAGGGAAGTGGGAGGGGTAGGGGAAAGGATAGAAGGGAATGGGATTAATATGAGAAAATGGAAAAATGGAAACAAAATCTTTGTAAATAGGGAGGGATGGAGGGATTGAAGGGAGGGCAGGGGAAGGGGGAAAAATAAGAACCAAGAGAGAGTATGTAAAGGTGCAAATTCCCAATGATGAATGTCATTATATTGTATACCTAAAATGTACCAATAAAATAAAATTTAAAGAAAAGAAAAAGAAAAAAACTAGAGAACAGAAAGGTTTACCAACATCACACTAGAAAATGTGATGCAGAAGTCATCTTTCAATAGAAACTACAGAAGTCTTTTGTTGTGAACATAGTAACTTCTGTTTCTCACTGTGACCCTAAACTGCATGCAGTGAGGTTTTGTGAATCCACAGCAGTGCTGGCCCAGCTCACTAATACTACTCTCAAGCTCAGGAAAAAAAGAGTGTGGACTTGGCAGTCACTAATGCAGGCTCCAGAGTATCCTCTTCTTTTAAAAATACTTTCACTAGCCACTGCTATAGCTGAATGCATTTGCCTTTTTGAGAGACAGTACGTCCTCCAGTACTGCTCCCACTCTTCTTTTTTAAAGGAAAGGTTTATGGAATAAACCTTTTTCTAACAATTAAAACTTTTCTCTAGATAAGACTCTCGGCAACCCTGATGCAGTTATGCCCAGAAGTGAAAAAACAGCTCATCTCATTCACTCCAGTTCAGTTAAGCAGTTAAAGGCAGTCATAGTCTGCAACACAGGTCCCCAATCCCACACCCTGCATGGCATGCCATTTTTCATAAGCTCTGACCTGAATGCTTCACTGACTTATACTCTGCTTATTGTCATCCTTTAGGTGAGCCACTCTTCTGCACGTTTTCTACACCTCTCTACTTATCCACAGCTCAACCAGCCTTAAAGACCCAGCAGTGGCCTATAGGCTTCATCTAATGACTAGTCCATCCTCAATAGTTACTGCCATAACTCCTAGTGACTTTTTTTTTTGGTACTGGGGATTGAACTCAAGACCTTGAGCTTGCGAGGCAAGTGGCAGAACCACTGAGCTAAATCCCCAGCCCACTCCTAGTTACTTTTTAACAGAGCAATTTCACTTCTATCCTTTCTACCCAATGAGCTCCCAAGTAAGAAATTCTTTAAGGAACAAATTCTACAAAAATGAAGCTTGAAAATCATTGTCCTGTTGCACTTACTTCTTCACAAAAGATGCAGTATAACAGGCTCCCTCCAATTTCTTGTCATTTCCATAATTCGGATGTTTTTGGGACATTGCCACATTTTATATAGGTACGTAAGGTATGCCTATTAGAATAATAAAGTGGCCTCTATAACTAAATACCTTTTAATTTGTATAGTGTCTTCAAAAATGCAAAATTGTTTTGCTTATAAAACCTCTTAGTCTAGAGAGCTATTTTCCATGGCAAAATTAAAATGACTATCACTTAAGAAAAAATCATCTTCCTCTCTAGGATTATGACAACAATGGCAAGGTATCTTTTACAGACTTTGAAAAAGCAGTAAGACAAGACAGGCTTCCGTTGGAGGTGTGTGGGCCATGTTTACCAGAAGCAGAGGTATAGTTATAAGTACCAAAAGCCCACCTGTGCTTATAAAGGCTTTTCATATATGAATCTGACAAATTTTCTGAACTGAGAGGATCAGCCCAGTAATTGATTTGGGTCATAAAACTTCCTTAGTCTTTGAGCAATTGTACTTTTCAAACATATAACATAAAAACTTTATTTTATGATTTTGCAAGTTAACATGTATGTGGTTAAGCTATCCTTACCAATTTATTTCCTAGATCCCACATCCGAGTTCTGTCTGGAAATGTATGGTAAAAAGCAATATGTGAAAGGCAGGTTTCCAATTGTAAGACACTGATGGGTGAAAACAGCACAAATGGACCAGAGTAACTCCTTAGGACCAATAAGCCAACAATTCTTCTGAGGCAGGGCACTTAAGTCACTAAGCTGCCCAGACTGGGCTGGAGCTTGTGATCCTCCTTCCTTAGCCTTGCAGAGCACTGGGATTACAGGTCTGTGCCACTGTCCTTGAGACACCAGTTCTTCAGCTGCATCACAAGAGTTCATCTGTTGCACAGTTATCTAGAGCTTGGCCTTTCAAAATGTGGTCTGTGGTGAACTGGCATCAGTGGCATTGCCTAGCAACTTATGAAAAATGCAGAGTCTCAGCCCCCACACAAAACTAAGTGAATCACAATCTACTTTTTTTGTTGTTGTTGCTTGACACAACCAAAGTGTCTTTCTTTCTTATCACCTTCAAATGTCTGTTAGTGGATACAGAGAAGCAAATAGCCTCCTCAGAGAACAGATGAGAAACCCACTTGGGAACAGAGAACCCATCTAAGAGCTGCTGCCATTCAGTCTGTCAGGGAATTTTTTAGATTGTCATAGAAGACACATAATAGAAAATTTACCATCATAACCTTTTCTAAATGTACAGTTCAGTTAGTATCAAGCACATTCACAAGGTCATACAACCAATCTCCACAATTCTTTTCATTTTGCAAAACTGACAGGCTATACCATTAAACAATTCCCCATTCCGCCTCCCTACCACCATCAGAATCTACATTTTAACAAGACCCTATGGTGGAGATTCACAGCATCTTAATATCTGAAAAGGCTTATCTGAACAGCATTTGTTCTTTCCAATTCTGTGCTTAGGTCTTTTGAGATTTCAGCAAAAAATACATCTACCTTACAAGGAAGTAGAGCCTAACTCCTTGGTTGCAGATTCTTTTAGTACCACCCATCACTTATAACCATTCTAGCAATTTTGGATCAGTATACCTTATAGCTGAAGTAAACCTAATTCATTGATATGTTCAAATTTAATCTCTTAGGCAAGAAGCCCTTAAGGACAGGGGAAAATGAAACAGATACTACATATGAGCCTTCTCAAGTTATTTTTATCAGTAAAGAAAATGGAAACAGTCAGGGATTTAGCTCAGCTGCACCTGCTTCACAAGAGCAAGGTCCTGAGTTCGAACCCCAGTACCCACCCCCCAAAAGAAAATGGAGACAGTCTGGATAAAATTAGATTTCAAATTATGTGTTCACTGACAGAAGAAAGTGTAGATATGCTTAAAGTGTAGTGGTCAAAGTCTAGAATTTTCCAAAACTGATTTTTTTTTTATTGCTATACAGTAAGTAAATTCTTCTTAAAAGTTTTTTTTAAATCATGTAAGCTCTAATATCAACTTTGTTGTAATAGTTTATTAACTTTTTTACTTTATAGAACTGTCTTCATTTTGAAACCCTAGCTTTCAGAAACATCAGGACTTGCAGTTTTTAAATGTGAATTGCTCGATATTTGTATTAAAATAAGAAACAGATACTGGTTGCCCGTCTTTGTTAATACTGTAAAGTTTCTATATTTGCTTCAATTTACATGTAGTTATAATGTAGCAGGTAATGTTATATAACATGAACAGTTTCTGTAAAATTAAGTATAGATCATAAAAACATGAAATTAGACGAACTTTGAATGAAATTATAAAATCATGTGCATTAAAAAATACTAGTAGATAAACTTTTTTTTTGGCACCAGGGATCGAACTTGGGTCCTTGCGCTTATCGGGCAGGTGGCGGAACTAGTAAACTTAATGGAGGAAAAAAAAATACTAGCAGTAGGGCCAGGGATTTAGCTCAGTGGTGCCGCCGCCTAACTCGCAAGTGCAAGGTCCCAAGTTCGATCCAGTACCGAAAAAAAAAACAAAACCAAAACAAAACAAAACAAAAAAACTAGCAGTAAAATCTCTTAAATAAAATGACAGGCTAACAATAAAAAATTAATATCCTCTTTAGAAAATACTAACTTGCTCCTGGCAATCTATATTCTTCTTCTTTGTTTTAATGGGTGACTCATATGTTCAGCTTCCAACTTGTCCTCTGGAGGCTTTGGCACTGATGAACTAACCTAGTTTAAAAAGAAAAAAGAACTATCAAAATTTAGTTTCCATAGTGTAATTGTAAATAAGTTAGAAGAGGTACGATATACACTTAATCATCCAGTCCTTTCCATCACTTTTGAGAGAGTTGGCCCATGTTTCAGATATAGCCTATGACCTAGGCACAGAGGAAAGTTTTTTGTCCAAACACTGATGGAAGTAAAATTTCAAAGCCATTTACCAAGAAAAAAAAATGGAGGGAGGGTAGGGGGTGTATAGCATTTCCCTAGCACATGCAAATGCCCTAGGTTTGATACTAAGAACTGAAAAAAAAAATTTTTTTTTGAGGCAGAAAAGTAAACATGCTCTCCTTTAGCATTTTTAAATAAAGTTACCCGTTTTTTTTGGATACAGATAGATATCCAAATTTTGCATTTTTGAAACACAGATAAAATCTGATAGACATGAAATGCTTGGGAGGGGATGAAAAATTCAGATAAATGAGCTCAAAATGGTATAATTCTCAATTTCCCAGGAGAAAAATGGATACCAAACACATCAGAAAAAGTGTGGGGGTTAGGGATTTAGCTCAGTGGTTTTGCCGCCTGCTGAACAAGCCCAAGGACCCAAGTTCGATCCTCGGTACCAAAAAAAAAAACAAAAAAAAGTGTAGACAATAAATCAAAGCAGAATAACAGTCTTCATTTAAAATGGAAAATTATTAGAAACTGTGGCAAATTATACTAAATATTTTTATTTTTCTATTATTTCTCTAAGCTTTGGACTTTACACTTTAAAAATGCAGTCAGCTTATATATTTGTAAGTGTCTCAGGTCAGCTTTACATAAGAAAGTAAGGTGCTAGCACGAGCTGAAAAACTTTAGAAGGCTCAAGCATTAAAAACTGTGTTTAGGGCCGGGGATTTAGCTCAGTGGTTCCACCGCCTCCCTCGCAAGAGCAAGGTCCTGAGTTCAATCCCTGGTACCAAAAAAAAGAAAATGATTATGTAAATAATGTTTTTAAAAACTAAGCACAATCTAGTTCTAATCTTCTAAGGAGCGTATACTTACAATGCAGACCGTAAAGCAATGCAAAGACCCAATCTCACCTTTCTCTACAGCTACTTTTAATCAAAGAAACAATAATCATGTTAAATTTGACTTTGAATTTAAGAGAAATAATTTATATTAATTTTCTTTCTCAGCTCTGGTTCATATTACAACTATCTAGGGAGCTGTTTAAAAAGGAGGCCTGGAACCCACTATGGAAGGTTGATTTAACTGACTGAAACCACTATGTGAGTATTTTTGTTTCTAGAATGATATAAAAATGTTCATTATTTAAAGCAAAATTTACCATCAAAACAAATACGCATGCTGGTCAAGTTCAGTTAATTTAACAGAGAACTGCAGAAAAACCACATAAAAAACTAAAAACTGAAAAAATAGAATTCTATCATTCCCACAAATAATTTTCCATGTAGTTATTAGTTCTATAATCAAATCATCTCTTAACATTTTTTAAAAAATGACCTCACCTCTTTAAGTTTATTCCGAATTAAGTTTGCTGTTGTATTCAAGGAGTCATCTTGCAGATCCACTTTGGCTATGTCTGGTAACTTAGGCCCAATCATCACCTCATTACTGCCTGTGCTTGTGTCAAGAAAAGTACCAAGTTTACGATCATCTTCTCTTCTTCTTTTTCGTTCCTGCAGCTGTGTTGTCCTAGGCATAAATCTGTCAATTGCCCCTGAAGGAGTAATGGCTTTTTGTGCCCCAGAACAGGGTACTGAATTTTTTAAAGTGTTCATCTGTAATTTTGGGGAAGAGTCACTGTGGATACAACGCTTCACCGTTTTGTTGTGGTTTCTACCATCTTTATAGGAACTGGATGCTCTGTCCACATGCTCCCCAGGTGAACATGCACATTTTGAGGCAAAATAACATATAGGCAATTCAGAAGAATAAGTATTTGAGTTCCCAGTAGATGTGTTCAAAGTCGCTGCATGAAATACAGACATATTTGAGTGGAAGGCTTGTCTAAAATCTTCTGTGTCTTTATTTTCTGGAACTGGTTTCTTCTTTGTCATATAATAGTCTTTTTATATCACAATTTGAAAGTTGTGGGAAAGGAAAACAGAAATGGTTCATATATTGTTTTTACCATTCAGAATCATGTAATTTAAAATACAAACTTAAAAAATGTTACCATATTCTACTCCAAATATTTTCTTTTGGGGGGGGTTGCAATGTACATCGGGCTGTCCTTGAACTCACTATGTAGCCCAGGCTAGCCTTGAACCTGTAGTGATCCTCCTGCCTCAGCCTCTTGAGTGCTGGGATTACAGGGATAAGACAGCACACCTGACTCAAAGATTTTATTTCTTGAGCAGGGAATATATTGATGGGGTTTAAGGTCTTTCAAGAGAATTAAAAAAAAGTATATCATATCAAAATTCACCTTTTTCTTGCTCTACATGTGTCTGGTTTTCTACCTCTCTTATGTATTCACTATTCTTTCTTATTCATGTATCCTGTATGTCTTACTTTTCCTCATCCCATCCACCCCTCTTTCTCTTTCCACCCCAAAAGCAACCTACAGGACTCTTACATGTAGATCTCAGAGTCTTCCCATGTAAAAAAAAGTAGAACACTTTTTTTTACAGCTTCAGAATGTTCTATTATATGAATATAACATGTTTAGTTTTTGTTATGAAATCAAATAGTATGCTGGGTGTTTTGCCTGATCTATCCTCCCCAAAGAAGACAGTACCACCAGGGTGGAATGTGGAAACTTAAGACAACCAACAACTCTCTAGCCCAGCTTATGTACAGTGCTGCAAAGAACCCTGTGATTTAAGTTACTGAATACTGTGATCATTTATTTGCCTGTCCTCCAACTAGATTGGGCACTCCCAATGATCTATGCAGCAGAATGCCTGACACATAGAAGTGTTTAATAACAAGCTTTTTGTACCTTTATTTTTAGTAGTTCTTGCTATATAAGCCCTTCTCTCTTCTAATTTTTTTCTAGTTTCTTCAACTGTCTCAAATTCTGGAGCATAGCACACATGAAGCAATCCACCAAAGAAACTCTGTTCATCCATTTTTTTCTTGGCTATCCTAAATAGAAAGACATGATAACTTGGTCTATTAATATAGATTTGGAATGTCTCCTGTCTTATAATAACGAATACATAAAAAAGGAAGTTTTGTTACTTAAATACATCAACAATATTATATACAGGAGTACCTCAGTTCACAAACTTCATTCGTTCCATGATTCTGGAAAAGATGGGTACATTCATGTTCATGTGGGAAAGATGGCTGCGGTCGTGTTTATCACCCAATGCAGAGTTTGCAAACAAAAACAAAATTTTGCCAAATTCTTCCATTTGTGAACCAAATTGTTCACAAACAAAAGCATTCATGAACTGAGGTACCACTGTGTTTCATATGAGGCTCAATTCAATTCCTCGTCACTCAATACTACTAGTTGAACACACCTACCACATGTTTTCCTAATCATGAGGAGCTGGCACACTAGTTAGGAAAGTGAAATTAAATAGAAGAGCTGCCTGATAACAACATATGACTCCATAAAATCAAATGTTTCTGTGGCAGAGTATCAATGCTACTGGTAGCACAGAAAAGAAAAATGAATGAGTAATAGCCAGGAAGGTTAGGTGTTAGGTTAGATTAGTGACAAGAAAAAGGGTAAACACAAAAGTAGATAAGGCACTGCATACTTCAGCTCACTGAAGCAGGTTTATGTTACATAGATGCCAGGAAAAGATGGAGTTAATTCACATAATAGGAACTACAACAGCTGAGGTTTACTGCATTATGAACAGGAAGCATTATTCTAAGCCCTTTACACAAATTATCCAGTTCATCCTCATACCTCAAGAAGTAGGCTTTTTACCGTATGTATTTTAAGAAAAGGAAAAAATAGGCTTAACAGGACTAAACTACTTGCTAGTCATGAAGCTAGTAAGCAGTTGGAATTCAAAACATACTCCAAATTCAATTTTTAATCTAAGATAATACAGGATAGAAATTGTTAAGCATGGGAATGAGGGGATAGAAAGAAGTGTTTTGGTAAGGTTAGCCTTTTAAAAGACTGTACGAAGGGCCGGGGATTTAGCTCAGCGGATCTGTTGCCTCCCTCGAGAGCACAAGGTCCCGAGTTTGATCCCTGTACCAAAAACAAAACAAAACAAAACACAGACTGTAGGAAGATAAGAATAATACAGGGCCACGTTAAGTTTTTGGCTAAGTCAGTATGAATCAGAGAAACCTGAGGCCAAATGATAACAATGGAGGAAATGATATACTGCTTAACTTGCGCATTACCTTGAACTTTGTAAATTCATAAATTTAATAAGATAAACTTCTGTAAAGTCTTCTGCTGGATATTCATCTAGAGCATTATACTCTTCAATTGTACCATATAGAGCAAATCGCTCCACTAATTCCTTCATTGCTCCCACTGCAGGAACTCCTTGTATTAATAAGTACCGAGATTCCAAGTTGATTGTATATACCTAGAGGAAATAGATTCATTAAACATATTTCGCAAGTAAACTTAGGACAAATTTGCCCCCTTTTTTGGTTTTAAATAAGGCATTGTTCAACCGGGACTGTAAAATACACACAAAAAATTTTAAAATGCTGCACTCCATAAAGAATAACATACTCCACGTGTGAGGATATCTAACTAAAACATACAACAGACTACCGTCAGTTGCCATTTTTTTTCTAGCAGTTGGCTCGGCATACGTTATTGGGAAGTCACTCAAGTATTCACGGAGCATTTATGTGACACGCACTATTGTAAACACAGAAGATACAAAGACCTGTTCTTGCAGAGTGGCGTTCTAATAGTTAACCAAACGGGCACTATTACCATTAGACACCAAGGAGAGAGATCTGACAGCTGCCTTGCCTTATCTCTCTAGGCGGGTTATGTGGAGCTAGAGCTCACACAAAGCTACCGAGGATAGCGAATGAAACTGAAATCGCTTTACCTTGACCGCGCGAGCCCGTCGGCCCTCTCGATATTTCGCCCTTGTGTCGCAAACCTCCTTCTGGACGTGGTGGTCGAATAAGCTTCCAAGCTTTCCATCGTACGACGCCATGTTGGCTGCTTTGGAGCTCACAGGGAGAACAACATCCGCTTTGTACCCTAGCATTTACCCAATAAGACAGCGAGATAAATCAAGGCGTTCCAGGATTGGTTAGAGAATCGACAGCGTCGGCCATCGTTTCCTGACAAGTAGAATTCAGTGAACGCGGTACTGCACACGGCGGCCTGAAGGAGAGGACCAATGATTCGCATAAGCTTGCTTGTCCCTCCCCCTTACAGGCGCACTGGGAGACACGCCGTGAAGAAGGGGGCGGGTTCGCAGGGGGCGGGGTCGATCGATCCTCTCGGGCTGTGACGCGCTCGGCCAGAAGCCGCTCCACCTTGTGAATTCTCGGAGCAGCGCTTTGGGAACATGTTGGGTAGCGACCGCCTAGCGGGGGTGGTGGCCGACGGTGTGGCGGTGACTGTGACCTTCACCAACGCTCGCGACTGCTTCCTCCACCTGCCGCGGCGCCTCGTGGCCCAGCTGCACCTGCTGCAGGTAAAGCGCCGGCCCCGGAGGCCCGGACGGCAGCCCGGGACCGGCCGCGGCCGCCGAGGTCTCCGCCGCGTACCGGCCTTGCAGCCCCTGTGCGCCTAGCCCAGGTCGTGTCTGCTAGTCGCACTAGGCTCTGAAACATCCTAGCGCGGTATTCCTTTCTGCATTCAGGAATATTCCTCATTACCAGTTGAAAAAGCTCTTGAGAACTCGCAGGTCTTAGTTATTTTAAGTGTTTTTTCCGCTAGCGATTTCCTAGTATCCGCAGCTGCTGCTTTCTGGCCCCGAGGAGCTGACATGCGCTGTGGAGCCCGGGAGGATGGTGGGGACTGAGCGCGCGTCCCGAGGTTAATAAAATGACAGCTGTACCCCTTGCCGCTGTCCCTCCAGCACAGGGTGTGGGCGGAATTCTGCACACCTGCCCTCCGCAGGTGGGGCTGCGTGGACCCCCGCCGTGAAGCACCCTCCTGGGCTTTGTGGTTGTGTTTCACAGTTGTAACCCCGCATGTAGATACCGCATCCATGTTTTCATAGTTAAAAGTAGATGCACATGGTCTCAAGAGTTTGTGCTCACTGGACAAAAAGATAGAATATTTGAAATCTTCACAAATTTTGCATGTGTGTTGCCCACCACTGCCTAATCCGAACAAGAAATATTTAAGAGTTCGCAGTAATGTCAAGAATTTCACGGGCCAGGGATTTAGCTCAGTGGTTCCGGCGCCTGCCTTGCAAGCGCAAGGTCCCGAGTTCGATCTCCGGTACCAAAAAAAAAAAAAAGAATTCCACCTTTCCTGTGGAGATACTTCTCTGTAACTTATTTTTATGGTTTTTGATCCATCTTTCAAAACATACCAAATTCAACAGAATCCTTCCATTCTTGTTATTATTTTTATCATTAAATAAAGCCGTTTGTTTTTGATAAGCTTTCCTTATGACTCCGAATCAGTCACTATCACCAAGTTCCAGATGGAACTTGACTCAGTGCTTTATGAGCTGATGGAGATTTTTGTTTGTTTTGGTACCGGGGATCGAACTCGGGACCTTGCACTTGCAAGGCAGGTGCCAGAACCACTGAGTTAAATCCCTGGCCCTTGATGGAGATTTTTAATGTACTTTCTTTAGAATTCAAACCTAATGGGTTTATCAGAGGCTTCATACTGTAATTCTAGTAATTTGATCCTAAGATGTGGTTGTTACCTCACATCCCTGTTTAAGCATTATTATCTTGATCTTTGTTTTAAATTTAGAGCCCTCAAGAAGAATTCATAGGCATTAATTAATGCATATCTTTTTAAAATTTAAATCCTATCGGCCCTGGAATAAGTTGCTATTTTTTCTCAGCCTGTATCAGCAGAATAGGCTACCTTTTCCTTCCACTCATCAGGTATACATGTGTTTTATGGAAAATTATTAACAAGTCAAAGTTACTCATAGTCCCAGAACCTAGATTTAACTACTATTAGCAGTTTGGGGCCAATCTTCCAAGTTTTTTTTTCTAATCTTTATCTTTTAGAGAAGTGTTCTATATACATATGCACATATTGTGTTCATATAGTGAAGTGTTTTATTTTGTTAAAAAGTTACTGTTTTAGTAATTAGTATTCTTGCACAAACTCACCATAATTTATGTATTCACTGTGATTGACCATTTAGATTGTGCTCCATGTTCAGAAATTAAGAGTGATACAGTGTATTTTAATGAAACATTAAAGTAGCAATCTTTGTTATAAAACATTGTTTTATTGCTGATTATGTAGAATACATTCCCAGAATTATGGGGTTGGAGAGCATAGAGACCAGTAGCACCTCTCCACCTAGTTGTGATGATAAAAAAAAATCTAAAACATTGCCAAACTCAGTTGTCTTGTCTCTACTCTGAGCTCAGGACTTGCTGTGATTGCAGCAGGGGAAGAGGATTCTTATCCACACGGAATACAAACAGGAACCTAAATCACCATCCAGAGATGGCCACATGCAGATTAGATTTCTTTGCATCAGCAAGAGATTCACCAGGCCTTGGACCTGGGGACTCCTACAAGTTTCACCTGAAGATTTCTTTCACACTGATACTGATGCCATGGTTTGGGTCAAAGAAAGCAGTCCATGAATTTACTGATGAAACTCCTTGGAAAAGGGGCTCCTTTTCCTGTCTCTCTACCTGAAGAGCCAGGGGCTCTATGGTTCAAGTGGAAAAAATTTTGACATAAAATCAAATTTGCAAACTTTTCCAAAGTTGACCAAATCTAACAGCATAGATTACCACAGTTTAATCAAATAAATAATTGAAATATTTTTCTGTTTAGTAAAATTGATTATTCTTGTTTCTAGTGAAGTGATAGGAATCTTTTTTTTGACATTTCGAGGCATATTTCATATTCCCTCATTTAACATTTTGGTTTTAAAGGTTTCCTCATATGAAATAGAATTTGCCTGGATTATATATTACTGACTGATGAAACTGTAGAAAGCACCTGAGGGCTTGGTTACCTTCACTCTCATAACTTCAGCTTACACAATTATAGCTGAAATAGTAATGTAGACTTTTGACTGTAAGTTCAGCGCTCTTTCTAATTTTTCCAACTCCACTCAGGTCACAGATTTTGTCACCCAGAACAGTTGGTCTGTTCTGTGAAAATTGAGAAAAATTATACAACTAAGTGATACATAATGACTTTTTTGCATACAAAATTTTAAAAACATGAATAATTTCAAGTACATAATTTTGAGGATTTGTGTGTGTGTGTGTGTGTGATACTGGGGCTTGAACTCACTATCTTGCACTTGTGAGGCAGGCGCAGTGCCACTGAGCTAAATCCCCAGCCATCAAGTACATAATTTTGCCTCAGAAGTACTCCAAAGTTCTTCAAATTTGGTCCAATGTAGAGAATCATAGGGTAGTAAAATTTGGTGTAAGTGAATGAATTTGATAACGTAATGTTTTAAGTTTAATGAATTTATTTTGGCATAAATAAATGAATTTAATAATACTGAAGCTTTCGGAGATGATAGTCTTGATGGGTGTCAACCAAGTCTTTATTTTTTATTAAAAATGCTCATGATGGGGCCGGGGATTTAGCTCAGTGGTGCTGCCACCTGCCTTGCAAGCGCAAAGTCATGAGTTTGATCCCTGGTACAAAAAAAAAAAGGTGCATAAAGAAAAAGATTAGGAAGAAATAGTTGTTCACATGATTGTCTGTGGAGAGAACATCAGTAATTCCTTTTCCTTCCAACTTCATATATTTTCCAACTTTTTATAATGAGTAATTTTTTAGTCATAAAAAATTTTTAGTCATTGGACACAAACTTACATATTTTATATAATTTCTCTTTTAATGAAAATAAATTTTAAATATTGATTTTTTAACTTATAAATATGTTCCCATAGTTGTATGGCTTTCAAACTTACTTAAGAGACTGAATAATATAACATTTCTGGAAAGGTACACAAGAAACTATTAACAGTACTTACATCTGGAAATGGTGACCTACCTTCACATTTTGCCTGTTTGTGTTTTTTGTATTTTTACAATGTGCATTTATTACTCTTCTGATCAGTCAGCCACTATCAAAGGAGTGCATATTTTATCTGATTGCTGTGCTGTAATTCTAAAACTCTTGTTTCATTTTAAAGCATCACTTATTTTTACAGTAGTACCCTCAACTGTGGGTGCTACATTCCAAAACCTCCCTGGATTTCTAAAACCAAGGATAGCCCTGAACCCTGTCTGCTATGTCGTTTCCTGTACAACCATGTACAAATTTGATGCCTTTTCCACCTCAGCTAAGCACTTATGCACTGTGACTGTAGCTTTTATAGTTTGTAAAAAGTGTGACAGCAAAGCTAACATTTCTTTTTCCTTCACAATTTCACAGACAGAACATTCATACTTACTGTAGGTCTTAGCAATTTCAGTGTATGATTTTTTTTTTCTTTCCTTAGCAATTTGAGAACTTTCACCTTTTCACTTTACTGCTTCTCTTTGGCAGATCCAAATTGCCAGCATAACTAGTTTTGTGTTCTGGGACCATTATTAAGAAAAAGAGGGATGGGCAGCAGCCAGGGCCGCGATGGCAGGCTACAGCGAGGAGCAGCAAAATGAGCTGGAGGCTCTGGAGTCCATCTACCCCGACTCCTTCACAGTATTATCAGAAAATCCACCCAGCTGGGCTGGGGATTTAGCTCAGTGGTTCTGCTGCCTGCCTTGCAAGCTCAAGGTCCTGAGTTCGATCCCCGGTACCAAAAAAAAAGAAAATCCACCCAGCTTCACCATCACTGTGACATCTGAGGTTGGAGAAAATGATGAAACTGTCCAGATTAAACCTCAAGTTTACATACAGTGAAAAATACCCAGATGAAGCTCCTCTTTATGAAATATTTTCCCAGGAAAACCTAGAAGATAATGATGTCATAGACATTTTAAAATTATTAGCATTACAGGCTGAGGAAAATCTTGGTGTGGTCATGATCTTTACTGACAGCAGTGCAAGAAAAATTAAGTGAAATAGTAGATCAGATAAAAACGAGAAGAGAGGAAGAAAAGAAACTAAAAGAAAAAGAAGAAGCAGCAGAGAAGCAATTATTCCACAGCACCCGTTACAATTGAGAATTTCTTATGTTGGAACGCCAAGTTTGATGCAGAACTCTTGGAAATTGAAACAGATAAAAGGACAGGAGCAAGTAGGAAAAAATAAATTAAGTGGCAAACAGCTGTTTGAAACCGATCATAATCTTGACGCATCTGATATCCAGTTCTTGGAGGATGCTGGAAATAATGTGGAAGTAGAGGAGTCTTTGTTTCAGGAACTGGATGACTTGGAGCTGGAGGATGTTGAGGACGACCCAGACCACAGCCCTGCTGGCCCAGGGAGTGGCTCAGAGGACTGAGGCACCATCTCCGGACAGTTCCACAGCCACAGCATCTGTGGCTGTGCTGAGAGGCTTTTAATTTTCCTTTCTTTTTTTTGTAAGAAAAAATAACTCTCAGGAGAATATGCTTCTGATAACTTTCACCATTGAACTTAATAAACTGACCATAAAACTTCAAAAAAAAGATAAAGAAAAAGAGGGCTGGGGATTTAGCTCAGTGGTTTTGCCACCTGCTGTGCAAGCGCAAGGACCCGAGTTCAATCCCCGGTACCAAAAAGAAAAAGAAGAGTTACTTAAATGCAAACACTGTGATGCTGTGATAGTTGTCTTATAACTGAGACAGCTGTGATGTGAATGTCGGACAGGTCTTAGACACATCATAGATATACTGGACAAATAAAGGGATGAGTCACTGCCCAGGATAGCAGAACAGGACAATGAGATCTCCTCATGCTACTCAGAGCACTGCACAATTTAAAACTTGTAAACTGTTTATTTCTGGAACTTTTTATATCTTTGGACCACGGTTGACTGTGCATAACTGAAACTTCAGGAAGCAAAACTACAGTGAAGAGGGAACCCCTGTACTTACTGACTCGTGGTTTACTAACAGTAAATTTTAGCTAATTTAATAATTTCTCTATTTATACAGATTTAAGACAATCCCAAGTGTTCACTATTATAGAAAATACTACAAATACCTTCTGATATTTTATTTTTCTCTTTTGAATCATTAATTTAGAATACTCAAATAGTTACATATGGCTCAAAGGCTGAATTCATTTGGCTATCTGTTGCCAAATGGGGGGGATTTGTTTTTTGTTTTTGTGGTGCTAGGTATCAAAGCCAGGTCTGTGCTTAGGCAAGTGCTCTACTACTGAGCTATAGTAGTCTCCAGTCTCTTATTGCCATTTTGAATTCTGAAATGCTTGAATCAGTTTATAATGTCATGAGAATATAAGGGTATTGGTTTGGTGTATAGCATTACTAGCATTGGGTGTTTGAAATGATTATGACTTTTTAAATACTATACAGTTGTTGATAAATGAGCTATTATCTGTAGGATTGTTTTCATATGTGTGGATTGCAATAATAATTTATATGAATCCATGAAAAATATCTAAAAACTTTAAAAATTTTTTCCCCCTCCCATTCCTTCTATAAATAGAACCAAGCTATAGAAGTCACCTGGGGTCTCCAGCCTGCATTCTTGAGCTGGGTGGAAGGCAGGCTTTTTAATGACCAAGGTGAAAATGTGGCCGAAATTAACAGACAAGTTGGTCAGAAACTTGGACTTTCAAGTGGGGGACAGGTAAGCACAAAATATGACAGTGACTTTGTTCTAATGTCACATAACATGGCAATGGAAATAAAAGTTCAGATTTTTAAAGGAATTGAGGTGACGCCCAACTTACATATTATTTTAACTAGTCTAGGATATTCAAATTGATTACACTTTTTGTTGCTCAGTCAGTATTTTGTATTCTATTTTACTCTTTCCAGTTTCCCTAATTTTGTTTTTATGAAATAATTCTTTTAATTACTGTACTGGGTTTTACTTACTATTATTAAACTTAATTTCATTTGTTCTTTACATATTTTTTAGCTTCCTGTAGTCTTACTTGATTAAAAATACCTTTCTGTATACAGTCATCCCTCAGTATCTGGGAGCTTGGTTCCAAGATCCCCATGAAATCCAGTCTCTAGTTGCTCATGTCCCTTATATAAAATGGTATAACATTTGCATGTATGTAAATAGTTGTATCATTTAGGGAATAATAACAATCAAACAAATCTGCATGTTCAGGAGGGACAAAATTTTTTTTTTTTTTTGTGCCGGGTATCAAACTCAGGACCTTGCGCTCGCCAGGCAGGCGAGGTACCTCTGAGCTACATCCCTGGCCCAGGACAGACACAAGTATTTTCCCAAGTTGATCAACTCTGCAGATGTGGAACCTGCAGATACAGGGGTGACTGTTTACAAACAATATGGATTGAATATCTCCCTGTAAATATATGATCCTCTATTGTAGCAGTGCCACTAAGACACTGTCTCCCAAAGAATCATTAACAGGAACAGAAATGGGGTGCCTGGCCCAGCTTCGTGCTTCCTCAGTCGTATATATGCAGGTTTGTTATCCCTTACTTGAAATGCTTGGAGCCAGACATATCTCAGATTTTGGAGATTTTTAAATTTAGCAATATTTGCATTAGCTTTACTAGTTGAGCATCCTTAATCCAAAATCTGAAATGCTCCAAAATTTAAAACTTGTGCTCAGAAAGTTTCAGATTTCAGAGCATTTTAGATTCAGATTTTTGAATTAGGAATACTCAACCTGCAGATATGGAGTGAAATATTTTAAAACTTGAATTACCAGGTCAGGGGGGCTTATTCTTATAATTTTGATGGAGGAAGATACATCGCTGTCTGTTACCAGTTTCTCACAGCAGTACATCTGAGTGCACATCTTTTCAGCTTGTTCTAGACACAGACTATGTTTCGGTAATGAAAATGGGCCATTCATGAGATAAGCCTTTTACTAGTCTTTCGCCTATCCTAAATTTTTGTTAGAATCTAAATATTTTAATGCCTAACAGACCTTAGAAATCACTGACTTTGGTGCCTTGGTCTACAAATCTAAGAAGATGAAATATATTTGCTCAGGATTGCCCAGCGAGTTACAGTTTAGCTTGCTTTGATTACGTGGCAGCTCCCTGTAGGCAACATGAGCTTCTTACTGACTTTGATATCTTAATTAGTACACTAAACACCCCTACTTGTTTTTACTTCCTATTTTCTTCTAAGTGACTTCCTTGATTTTTGAAGACATAGGAATGAAAAGTGAGCTTGTTGCAGTCCTTCACTTTTTGGTAGACGCTGCTTTGTGCTTCCTTAGAATCATTCTTTTGAAGTAGAGGATAAGGAAGGTATTCAGGGAAAATTCACAAAAGCAGAGAGGTAAGGGCTGCTTACCTAGAATGTCTTATACTCAGTGGCTTTGGATTTTACCCCCTTAAACTTCAGAAATGTCTGTCAAAGGGAAAAGAAAGTAAAAGCTTTTGAGATATGCTAGCATTTCATATATCTGGAGACTAAAAACGGGGGCAGTATTTGTTTTATTTACTTTTAGCTGTGTGAAGGATACGCTATTAATAGCCGTCTCTGGTCTTTATTTCAGTGTGTTTTTCCTAGAAGCGACATAACTTGAAATTAGTTGTAAAGCTAATAGTTGTGAAACTTCTAGAAATAAACTCATGACGTGATTTGATGACACTCATTTTTCTTACTTATTGAAACTTATATGTCTTTTTTCAGTGATTATCTTTATTTTTGAAAAACATGCTAGGATGTGTTTTCTGTATTCTGTAACTAGTTGTGCAATAGTTTTTTTCTAAAATGCTGAACACATCAAAGCCTAGCTAAGAATAAGCACTTAATATTTGTTAATGAAAGACCATCAATACACACACATTACTTACCTAAAGAGAGAACTTCATATTTTCTAGGGATACAGAATAATTTTTTGAAAGTAGTTTTAAATTTTTAATTTTTCCAGGTATTTCTCAAGCCATGTTCCCATGTGGTGTCTTGTCATGAAGTTGAGGTGGAACCTCTCTCAGCAGATGATTGGGAAATATTGGTAATGGAAAACTAAGACTTCTCTCATTTTTTTTTCTTTTATTGGTACATTATAGGTATACAATTCATTTACATTTATCATTGGGTGTTTGTACCTGTACATGATATATCTTGGTTCTTATTTTTTTTTTTCCCCATTACCTGTGC